TTATCCTTCCGTTGATTTCAAGTGACACACTTTGTTACACACTTTGTAGTTTAGAAGGATCTAAGGTAAAAAGATTCAAGCCTATATTTCATCATTCGCGACCGGCACGGACCGTTTTCAGCGCCTTACGAGCCCTCGCGGCTTTAACGACGTGAGCCGTCGTGTTCACCGATTCTACTGGTGCGGGTTTATGGATTACGGTGCTTCCAGCACCATAAAGTCTGCCAGAGGAGATCAGCAGACGCGCGCGTGAGTCACGATGCAGAAGGAAGCGGCCTCGCATCCTGCATGTATATATAAACGTTAATATCGTTCATTCTTTATGACGCGTCGAGCTGAGGAGTGCAAGAGCCTCTGGTAACCGTTAACCACATCCCGACGTGAATTCCTCTAGTCTAATCTCCCGACCCTTAATCATCATTGTTCCTGGAGAAAACCACGCGTCACCTCGAGGAATTTAAGATCCTGGCGGCCTGAGAAGATCGGATCGCACGATCGCCGCATCGCTCGCGAAATCTCTCATTTCGCGTCATTTTCGTTTCAGTGGATAACGTCGAAGTTGTCCACTGCGTTTGATATAAGCGGATTCCCCGCGGAATGCGGTCACATTGGAACTGGCGAGAAAGTCACCAGAAAGAATTCCATCTTGGAAACAAATTGATTTCCGTGGCATCAATCGTGGGACACTCGCTGTTTTATTCCGCGACAGTTTCTTTGTAGAGTGTATTTATAATATATAAATGTTAAAAAAAACTTGCGAATGCAAATCGCGTTAAATTTCCGTTAAAGAGTTACATCAACTTCAAGTTCTGTTCGAGAGGTTTAAATAAAAAATATTTTAGAAATCCTCATGCTGTGTATATAACACAAAATTAAATTAAATATATTCATATTTATAATATTTTGATATATCTATTACAAGTATTATGTCGATAAAATCTATTTTTCTTGTAGACATTTAAAAAATATCAAATTAGAAAAAAATTTGTTCGAATAATTCTAAGTATATATTTACTAAATGTGAACATTTACATTTGTATACAAATGTATGTATACATTTATCTGGTGCAGAAAATCATTATTTTGATTCAACTTCATTTTTTATTTTGAGTAAAAAATGCTTATTTGTTGGAAATATAGTAAATTTTTTGTCGTGCATTAAATCACCATGATTCTTTTATTAATCCAATAAATTCCTTGGATTATTTGCCATTATGTCGGATTATGTCACCGGATAAATCGATGTTCCAATTCACTAAATATACAGGACAAACTGAAAGTCTGCTTCTTCTTCGTCGTTCGTAGAGACGAAAGGGTCGACTTGACGATCCGTAAATTATGCGGATGATCGTTGTCGCGAGTAAATTATGTACGCGCGTGTTCTTCGACGACGACGATGATCGTTTCTTCGTTATCCTCCGGTGGCACATAGCCACCGCCTTGTATCCACGTCTCCTAACTCTTTTGTTCTTTACGCACGCGTCCGATGCATCCGCGTGATCGGCGTGACTCGCATCCACATTCGCGGTCGCTTCATTGTTTGTGCTAACATAATGCAACGTGCGCGACTTTAGATATCCAAAGCGAAGCATCGATACTCGGATGTAATCAGACGCAAATGTCGAGAGCCATTGGTATTCAAGAAACGGAATCAAAGTGACGAAATTAGGGGAGCCGCATGTTCCTTTCTCCTTTCTTTTTTTATGATACACGCTGCAGGACGCGAGTGACTCATGTTTCACGCGCGTGCCACGCACCATGCTGCGTCATGTTGAAATCTTTTTGGATTATTCGTTGAGAACCTTCAGGAATTTCTTTGCTCAATTTTCTTCATAATCCTCTGAGAAATCATATTTGTATCATTATTAAAAAATATATATAAAATAGAGTTTCTTGTAATTTTTACAAAAATGCGTTACGGATTTTCATCGATGATAAGATTTAGTTAAGTTTTAAATTATTAATTTGATTTAACTGTGAATTTTTCTGGTCCTTAGTTTCCTGAAACCAATTATGTTAAATTCGGAATATACGGAAAGTAGGTGAACGCCAATTTAATGGCGTTTTTCTTTTTTATTCGAAGAACACATGTCCAGAGAATCAAGTTGTTATCTATAAAGCCCTGAGAAAATGATTGATATTCAGAGAAACGTTCGCGTGTCGACAAAGTTTTTGTGCGCATTGCAGCATTATAGCCGCTTCCGTAGTTTCCGTTCCGCGATTTTTCGATGATAAAACAACGGTTCAAATATAACTTATTAATCTAATTTTTTTATAGAAAAACCTAATTTGTTTCTTAAATATCATCTTCCAATTCTTTGAGAATATTTAAACGTTTAAATATTTTAAATATGAAAAACCGATGCAACAGCAAACCAAAGAGTTTATATATCGAGAGTCTATAAATTAATTCAGCCCTGATATTTATAGATTTACTCACGGTGAGCTCTAATTAAGAGAGTCTGTGAAGGATGAATGAATTAACCTTCTGATTCACTGAGATTAACGATCTACGCACTGATATCCGACTACTAATTTATTACCAGCGTCGATGTAACACGACGAGAAGAGACGTTCGGATAGTCAATTAAGGTAGTCAATTTACATTTTTCAACTTCAATTAACATAAAATATTAATCTTGGGAAATAATATCGATTTCGTAGAAAACCTAACATTTTTGTAAATTAGATTTCGATTTAAAGTGACACACATAATAACTTTTGGATTAAAAACGTTAAAATTAAATCTGTGTTTATAATATGCGTACAATATAACGTACAATAACATGTTTTTATCATGTATATCTGACACTATATGTCCCACACTGTGGGTTGGCAGCGAGTAATGCGTGATAACGTTGCTTCCGGTTGTGGGGACGCGAAACAAACGCCAAGTAAAACGGAGAAAATTAGTATTTTTTTGTCGCACACATGCAATTGCATTTCGTTCACCTGGTATGCATCTGGTCAGGTCAAAACCTTCCCTTTAGAAGTAAACGATGTAATTAATGCTCAATGAGTCATCATCTAAATATATTTAATTTCATGACATTTTCTTGTAAAAATTATATCGAAATATGGATATTGTAGAATAATCAGAGGACTCTAGTAGCAAAATTTATATTGGCATAATATTGGCCAAATATATTCCCAACGTTCAACCAAAAGCATCGGCAATAAATCGCTGCTAGGCATATTATTTAATTCTTCATGGAATGTTATTTAATTCTTTCATTAGCAAGCAATTCTGTATTTTGCATTACGTAAACAAATAGATTAAAATTTCAGCGAGGTATAGAATTGAATAATTGTAATGCGGGTAATTTTATGACTTTTTTCACTCTCACTCACTGTCGAAATATCCGGAGAACTCATAAATGTGGCCAGGCGTTAAGTGTTACCTCCATAAGTTTCACTTTTCCTTTTACGCATTATTATTATCGCTTCCTCAGTGTAGGTGAAATATATATTTCCACTTTTCCGCAAATCTTAATTTGTCATTCATTTTTCCTTCTACCTGATTATCTCTCTTGTTTTCACTTTTTATTATTTTCGCTCATTAACAAAACATGTACAAAGTTATTAATCTATCGTTATACTAATACTAATACACATAGAAAAATACGTACTACATTAATAATTAATTGTTTCAAGTATTTCAAGAGTTCGCATATCCGCAAATTTATCATCACAAGCATCAAATTTATTCAAAATATATTCTGAAAATCCTAGTAAGTTTAATACTTTAATCAAGATTATTAAATTAAAACAGTTCGAGCTGCTTATTATATAAAGTCACTTTTTCAATAAATTTTATATTAAAAAAAAATAAGCAATCTTGTTTTGAATACTTAATAATAAGTTTTTCTAAAATTTGTAATAAGTATATATTTTAAATTTATTATCGAGAAGATATTCTTTCTTGAAAATAACTGTTATTTAAAAGAAAGTTCAGTAATCATTTCTTAGTAACAAAATAATATTTTTCTGTATGTACTATCAATTAAGAAATATAGTTGCTATCAGTCTCATTAAAATGTCATTAGCTTAAGCATAAATAAGTCGTTTACCTCGTCTTTAGTCACTTTTATAGTGTCACAGGATTCGACGTAAAAGATGGACCTCATCTCTGGACGGAACCACATATTTCTGGCCTCTATTTCTCTCCTTTTCTAAGTAACTTATTAACCTGTTCAATCACATAATCAGCGAGTTTCTCGTTTCCATCATCATTTTAAACATAAACAAAAATGCAATTTTCAACGCAACACTTCACAAATTCATAAAATTATTCCACATAATATCACTAGTCTCTTTTAAATTTTTTCATAATTAAAATAATTCTTTTTTTTCGTATTGTATCAGTTATCTTTGAATCATAAATTACTTCCGCTGCTGACATTTGTCATCCAAGAATGAATCGTGTTTATTTCCGCACTGTTTTATTATCTCATCATAAACAAGCCTTTTCTTTCATTTTAATTTATATATTTTATATATATATATATATATATATATATATATATATATACACACATTTTTTTGTCAATTACACAAACAAATATCAGATGCTAAGCAATTAAAGATTTATGTCAGAGGCACTCATCGTTACAACATCTTACCGTCACGGTGGTCTCGTGAAAACTGAAAAGCGAAACTATAATCACGCACCTTCCCCTGTTTAAGTATACGCACGGCGTGTCCTCCCTACTCTATCAGAAATACTCTCTCTTTCTCTTTCCTCTCTCCTCGTTATCCCTATCTCCCCTTTTGCCGGTCGATTATCTCTCAACCCGCATTAATTCTTTTATTCAACGAAAACCGCTGCAAAAAGGCTCGTAACGAGTGAAGTCACTAGAACTTCAATTGTTTGGCAGCATGCATTTAAAATTATACAGGTTAAGACGAGAAAAAATGTTTCTTATACGAAATAAAAAATTGTAATTTACTTTTTTTCGACAGATTTTTTGAAGAAATTTTTGATTTCAATAACTACTGAAATGGATCTTTTAATAACGGCAGATCCTCATTTTATTCCAGGGTAGAAAATTAAGTCCTACAACCAATCAGTCCTATTTTTAAATTAAAAATTAATAAGTGATTTGTTTGATAGTCCAATAATTTATTATATTAAAAACTTGAAACGGTGCCGAATGTAAAGTACTTTGGGAATTTCAAGAAAATTGTCCGGTTATTCTTTTCAGATATTCCGGTTATTGTCCGCAGTTCCGATTCAATTACGGTGAAACGTACGCAAAAGCCACGCATAAACTGCTGCTCGATCCTACAATTAATCATGCGAAAACACTCGTCCTAACTGATCGTGTAGTTACCGATTGCGAGGTGAATGATATGCAGTGCTTTACTTGGAGATAACATAATAAATAAAAGATAAGATAATATAAGAGAAAATATATATAAGATAAACATATATATATAAAAATATAAAATAATAATTTAGCTCAATCAGAATAAATCAATACAAATAAATAGGACTATGAGCCAGACTAAAAACAAATTAAGAGCATTTAATATTCAGAAAATAAATATAAAGAAGTACAATAAACATATAAATTTAAAAAAAATTTAAAAACATCTCAATTCACTTTATGGCGCGTATTTTAAAAATGACTTTTTATTCGTTTTCAAACATATGTATAGCGACCATCAAAGAGCGACATCGATGTGGTCAATGCCCGTTTAAAGAGAACCGATGCTCTCTTTGTTCACCCCATGTTGCCAGGATACAAGGGTGCTTATCGGTTCCTTGTAATGCTTATCTGTACAAATGTATACTTCCGATATATACGTTCAAAATCATGAGTCTGTGTCGCTGCGGAACGAGTTTTCCTTGAAATTTAATCAATTACTGGGTATTGTGTAGGTTTTGTACCAGGATCGAACATTAGACTCGGACAAAGATACGCGGTGCACGCGACCGAAGGTCTCGCAGACTTCGAACGACAACAATTAAAAAATAAGGCGGCTTTAGATCGGTTGAGGAGAACGATCAATGTGCAATGTGGGCGAGTCGAGCCCCGGAATTTAGAAGAACGTTTGGTGAGAAGAGTTAAAGAATTGTTAAAATTTGAAAATTAATGATAGAACAATATCTCTTTAATTTCTAATAATTTAATTATTATTACAGCTAGTTAAAACCTTATTTAAATTACCTTTGCTTCCTGTGCGACCTGAATATGTAACAACGATGAATAGTTTATCATCCGACAAGAAATGCAAAATATCAAAAAATGATACATCTTCGTTTTATATATAAAATATTAAATTATTAAATTATGCTACTTGTGTAAATAGTTATAAAATAAAATAAAATATCAAAAAGAAACAGAATTAAATTATCAAATAAAATTTATGAAGTGAATAAAATATAAAATTATTATCATTAAAATAAATTTTTTATAATTTGTTAAATCAAATTTATTACAAAACGATAATTAAAATAATTGTATATCCCATATTAATTAGTGTTCTTATAATAATTATAGGAACACTAATATTAATGAAGAGCATTTCAATTGTTTATGTAAATCAATGAAGAATTTGCCTTCTGTCATTAAATAAATAATTTATTGTTTCGTCCCTTCAAAATTTAGTTTTCACACATTATTAGCAATCGAATAAAATGAAATTTTCAGATAAACAAAATCCCACATGGTGTTCCTTTATCCGCGAAAACGCGAAAAGTAAGTGAGTAACAGTAAGATCGTATATATTTGTCTCATTGTCAGTAATAATTTCATGTTTAATATTACATTTAGTTTATATTACATTTATTTAAAACAATGCATGAATCTCATAAATACTTTATGCAAAAAATTCTAAAAGTTTAATACTTTTCTATATTTTCATAAAATAGAAATATTTTTAATTTTTTAATGTGACATTTTCGAAAGAAAAATTATCTATCATATCAAATATACTTTGCAAAGGATACGCGACTCATATTCCTCACGGCTATTTCGAAACATCGATTATTCCGTCATATGATGATGCATTATACAGTTTCGCAAAGTGTCAAAAAGGACAAAGTGTAAAATATAAAATAACGACGATTTATCCAGAACCTCCGTTACTTGTCAAATCCACTGAAATCTATCATAAAAACGTCGGAATGATACCGAATTATTTTGGACATATTCCCGGAGCAATGTTCAGGTAAATTTAATTAATTAATTAATTAATTGAACACAAATAATTAGGTTATATGACATAAATTTTTGAGTGAAATGCATGAGGATTAAAGGAGAGGATATGTCAACCCGGAGATCTAAGGATTCAAAAACTCAGAATCTAAGGATGAAGAGTTGGAATCTAATAATGAGAGTCCAATGAAAGAGGATGACTCAAGGATCCAAGAATCCAAGGATCTAAGTACAACATATTTTTTTTCAACACTGTCTTTACTTTGTAGATATGGTAAAACGTTCGGAGTTGATTCAAAAGATGTCAAGAAATGGCTTCGAAGAGATTTCGATCTATAATTTAACTTTACAACAATGCTTATTTGGGTTGATCGTTATCACAACGATATTATGAGTAATTAATAGATACTTCAAGATCATTTAATTGAATCTTATATTGCATCAAAATGTATAAAGATTTACAATGTCTAGATTTATTAGATGTTGGAATTAATTCGTAGCGTTTTTAATGAAAGAATGTTATTTATTTCACATGAGCATTAAAAAATACATTAATGAAAGTACTTCCCATCACTTGTAAAACGCTACGAATTAATTCCAACACCTAATATATATGCTTGTAAATTGAATACCAAATATAAAATAGAGAAACATTGATTAATTTAAGACACTAAATATGCATAAAAATTGTAGTCAAATTATAAAAATTTTTCCTAATTATATCAATTACACTTTCTGTGCACACAATGTGCTCGAATAGCATGAAAGATACAGAAAAATTAATCAGTGCACAAAGCACTTAAAAGTCATCGAATATACATACTTAGTCTCAATTATTGAGATACCCATTTCTTCAAGATTTTGGCGGCTGCTTTCAAATTTTCGTCTTTCTGTTAAAATGTAATAATCGATGTTTAACAAACGCCAAAGTCATTTGTTGTCTTAATCAAAATTATTGTATTTACCTTCACGACAGCACACACACTTACCTTTATAAAACAATATCGTACATAGTCTTCTGCTAGAGTTTTATGTTCAGGACCATAAAATGCCGTAGGAGGAATACCTTGAAGACCGACGTTCTTCGTCATCCACTTAGTGAATCTATAGTCTTTACTAGCGTCCGTTTCCTCATTCAGTTTCACTTTGTTTTCCAATGCAGACCAATTAGCGAGCATAAAATATCCACCTTCGGGTATCGTCGGTACCATACCAACTTCTTGAAGAAATTTCGCCATATAATCGCGCTTCGGTAATAATTCCATTGCCAGACTGCGGAAATAACAGTCCGGTTGCTCTAAGCGTTCCATTTCTAATTCAAATCCAATAGCTACTGCTTCCTACAATTAAAACACAAGTAACTAATTTATCAGAAAAAATTATAGAATTAAAAAAAATTGTATTTAATTAATTACCTGAGTTGGTGTAGTACAAGTATACACGGAGTTCTGATGTACAACTTGTAGATTATGTAACAAATTCGCTCAATTGTGATTGTGCGTTCATACATACCAGGCAATGTCGCTGATTAAAAGAATAATTTTTTAAATGCCATTCTAAGATTACTATATGACTATTTTTGTAAGGCAATTCTTACCCATTCTTATATGTTTGTACGGTTCGTAAACGATATGCTCGTAAACCTCGTCAGAAATAACAAGTACATTCCATTTTTTTGCGAGATCGGCAATAAATTGCAATTCATCCAGCGTAAATATTTTTCCTATAGGATTGTGTGGAGTGTTAATGACGATACCTTTAGTTTTCTCATTGAAAAGACCTTCCATTTCTTTCCTATCAAATACCCAATCGCCAGAGGTAACTGTGCCTGATGTAGATTTCTACAAGTACATAACATATATTCAATACAAAAAGTATCTTTCTTGTGTTTGTTATCTAAACTTCTTACTGGTTTTAATGCTATGAATCTGGGTATTCCTCCAGCAGTCTGTATCATAGGTACATAACAATCAAAGAAAGGTTCAATGACGATCCATTCATCTCCAAGGTTAGTATGACCTTGTAGACTAGAATATAATGCTTCGTAAGCACCAGCAGTAACCAGCACTTCCTTGTTTGGATCCAAATCACGATTGATAAGCTTGGAGTAAAACTTTGCAATAGCATTCACTAGCCTTGGATGACCCTGCAATATTTACATTTACATTAGTGACATAAAATTTATTTTATCATACATAGATAATATTATCGATGCTAATTACTGATAACAATTACAATTGCAGTACTATCTCCATGTTAATGTTCCATAAAAATGAAGTTACTATCAAATTAATAAAAGATAAAAAGAAATTATACATAATAAGATACGAAACAATTCAAAAGTTAATGAATAGAATATTTATTACTTACAAATCCTCTCGTATACTGTTGCAAAAGTGGATTGTCACTTTTAGCGACAGTAGCTAGGGCATTTGTTACATTCTCTGGCGCATAATAGTCAGGAAAGCCTTGGCCCAAGTTCAGTGGCTTGTACTGTAGAGCGAGCTGGATATATTCGACCCTAACCAAACAAAACATCACCAATATATAATAATGAGTTTTTATCAGTTTACGTAAACATATATAAAATTAATATATCTGTAAAATAATGTTATACTTACCAGACAGACTTTTCATTGCCCTTCAAACGATTTGGTAAGTCAAACTTCGACATTCCGGTGATGTTTCTTACTGTATTGACTGACACAGTCTTACTTATCGTCAGAAAACAGACTCTCGTTAGCATCTGAATAGGCACGTAAGAAAAATTTTAATGAATACGATAAATTGCGTTTCTATAATTATCTTAATTGCACACAATATTATTCTTAATTGGAGCTTAAAATATGAGTGATAACAACAGGTATAATAATTCGGATCACAAGTACTTCTTAGAAAAAGCAGGAATTAGATCGGGATATGAAATGATCTGGATTATCGTCATAATTGTCGAAAGTGTATTATCATTGCGGTAAAAACTTACGTAATGTATTATGGCGGGAAACTTGATTCTGGCGAGGATAAATCGCCATTTTAAATTGATTTTGAATCCAACAAATAATAGATTAAATTAATAAATAATTACTTCGATTCCAATTAACGGTACTTTTTTATGCATAGCTCAGTATTCATTTTCAAACGACAAAAATATCACGTGAGCGAATTGTCATAATACAATACAAATTCTAACCTTCAATCACGTAACTTTCATCGTTAAAAATGAGCGACGCGACGAGCGATGCATGGAAAGACACCTTAATTAAGACACCTTGGATTAATCCAAGAGAAATATCGCGATATCGAACAACATATGTTTTACTTACTTATTTCCACTTAAAAATAAAAATTGAGATAATTCTCAGCAAATAGTGATATAATATCTGAGCATTATACTCACATAATTTTAGACTTTTGAATGCCACACTCGTATGAAAATGGAAAGTGATGGAAAGTAATTGCAGGTGTTCGCTTACGAAATTCGAATCGTTGAAGATTAGAAGTACGTACTTGATTTCGCTGGCTCTTCGCGTTGGATGGCGAAATAAAATGATGAGCCGCTCTAAACGGACGCGAAACAGAATGCAATAAAATGCTAGCGAACGTGTCGACTTGTACTACAATTTAAGTCGCCCGAAAGTGTTGATAAAAGCCCGGCTTTGGGAAAAGTAGAGAGGGAAGTCAAATCTCACTGTTACAAATGTTTTCAAGCATTTGATTGGTCAATAAGAAAAAAGAATTTTATGAAATGGCTAAGCAAAGAATGCTTCAAATATTTTTTGTTGTAGCATTATTTTGACCGTATTCAGAGATAAAAGAGAAAAGGCGTAATTTTAGAAAAAATTCAATTTCATATCGATGAAGCAGATATAAAGAAATGTTAATTCTCCGTCCTTCTCGTTAAAATCTCCGTCATTTTCCCGCCGCGTTATTTTCGCCGAACTTTTCCCTGAAGATTGAACTTGATGAAAAATTAATGTCGCCGCAATAAAGATATTTTGTAGAAATCATGAGAGATTTTAAAGACATTAGAAATATCAAACAAAATCTGTTCGTTATTATTGTCTTGTAAAATATTGTAGATCTAGATCAATTTCTTATTTGATTTGCACGACTACTGTTTAAATCTCATTCATCGTCCTTTGTTTTAATCTTTTCTTGGCGCAATTAAATAACAGGTTTTACTTACCGAGAGCACAAAGAGAATCGTAACGTTTCTCACGACGGACATGTTCGGTTTGATACAGTTTCAATTCGAAATGTAACAACGAGAGGCAAAAGGCCAACTACTTTCACTTTTCCAGACATTCAGTAGTCCACCTTCGTATTAACGGATGGAGTAATCCAATCTCCCCTTCGCTTTTTTCGCGCGCCTTTTCGACGGGCATAGATAAAATATTCTTATAGACCGACAACTCTGAGTGAATTTCCATCCAACAAATATCGGGATTCGAACGAGTCTGAACGAGTCTGAACGCCAAAAATTCATATTTTTTTATCTTGTACAGTTTTATATTTATCGTGTGAAATCAAAATATTCAGACTAATATGCATTTGTTCATTTTTTGTCGTATCAATCGTGCGACAAATTTCATGCCTGTTGATTGGCTGTAAGATAAAGAGATCCGAGAATCTCATTATATACGACTGATAAGAATACGACAAAAAACGATCTATAAAAAAAATATGAATTTTTTTATGGCTAAATATTTTGTATTTTTTAGCCTTTATTTTTTTTTCTTTCAAACATTTAAATGTTCGTTTTGATCTCAAATGTGTATTTAAAAATATTCATTAAATGGCGTTCGACAGTCTGTTTAAAGATCAGGTTGAATGTTGAAAATTGATAAAAATTCGATAATATCGGCATCGATATCGTCAGCAGAATAGATAAATTGCACGAAAATGACACAGAACACGCAAATGATAGAGGAACTTGATGATTGTTTCTTGAGAACGGCAAGGCATATCATGAAATATTATGGTGAGGGTTCAGCGAGGTTAGAAATATGTTCGGAATCTTTTAAGTGCTTCTTTTCGCATTTTTGCGTTTTCCTTGCTCGTCTCTTATGTAGCGTATTGTTCAAGATAGAACTTGACAATTATTTTGTAAGAACGACGAGGAACGTGAAATACTATAATGAGGTTTCGTTGAGGTTAGAAACAGAATTTTCCAAATGCTCCTCCGAATTTTCTTTATTTTTTTTTTGCGTTCGAGTTTCATTTCAAGTGTAGAAAATTAGAGATACAATGTGCTTTATTATGATTTTTTTGCTCTCTCTCTCTTGCAAGAAAATAAAATATGTTGTGTAAATTTTATCTTATATTTTCAGACAATGAAGAAGAGAAACAAAAGATATTGAAGCAGTTACGAGAAGCCTTAATAGTCAATTGTACGGAGTCTGCGAGAATAAAGGCTGCGAATGAGATCAAAGAGCATTTAGAATGTATGTCCGAGTTCGACTCGGAAGAAGATGTGAAAAATATCACAACAGTAACGATCTAGCTTCAAATAAAAAAATTATCAGTTATATTTTGATTTTCAAAATTTACAATTACTTGCTATTGTTTATAACAGGAATATAAGAAGGCTATATCCGAAATTCAAATTAATCCATTACAAGACAACAGATTGTTGGAGTATGATCGTCAGATTAAAGGCCTGTATCAAGGTAAAGTTTGAAATGAAAGATCTTAGCACTGGAATTTTGTATTTAATAGCAATGTCAGTATCATGAGTTGTGCAGCTTTTTTTACTATGTACAAGGTAATTCATTTTAATCCTAATAAACAAATATTTCAAAAATATGTAATTTTGTCCAAAAACATTTTAAATAAAAGTTGTATAGAAGAGGACATCATTTGTATGTATTCTTTTCTATTACATAATTTTTATTTGGAACATTTCTTTTAGTAAAATTATATATTTACGAAATATTTGCCTGTTAAGATTAAAATTAATCACTCTATATATAATATCTGCACAATAATAATATAAGGATGCACTGTTGTTTATAAAATTTTAGTGCTAATCACTTGAGGTTTATCTTTATGTAATTTCTTTCTGAGATTAACATACATTTTTTAGTCAATGAAGCTGAATCTAACGCACTGGATGACACAGACGCTGATTTACGGTTAACAGGCAGCGAAATAAACGTGATCGATCCAATCTCGAAGATGAGAATGACCGATCCTGTGAGAAATGCAGTCTGCGGTCACATATACGATAAAGCAAGCCTTGTCGCGATGTTACAAAAGAACAAAAACACTAGGTATGTTTTTCACATTATATCAAATATTGGGATATGCTACTATAGCGTTTACGTTTGCATTCACAGATGTCCTGTGGTGGGTTGCACCAGTCTGGATTATATAGATTTAAGTCAGTGTCGCTCTGACATTGTGACTAAAACATATCTGGAGAATCATCCTGCTTAGATTTCAGAAGAATGGATAAAAATATTTATGAATACATATATATTAAAGTTAAACGTACATTCCGCGTAGTGTATATACCTCCATATTTATATTGATTTAAAAATTATTACTTTTATTATATTTAAGAAAATTCTATCATCGAATTTAAATACTTTTTCTATATAATTGCAAAAAATATAAAATATATTTTATAAAATATAGTATTGTAGAAGAAATAAAATATTCCTAGTTATTTGTACGGTACATACAAGTATATATTTTTATTCGTGTCGAAGATAAATCTATGATCAAATTACTTCGAGCGATTGTATTCGATTGCATGCAATTTATCTAATCGCGTATATGTTCGCGTTGCTGTGCAATGGTCGAATGATGATCAGACTCGGGCTATGTTTATGTCCGCTCTTTTATCGGTACTTCTAATTCTATCGGGCATTCGTACTGCCGGCGACGGTTTTGATTATTGGGACTTTCCGAGATCGCCCGCTTCGGACGTAATTATGAAAGATATCCACGGATGCACATTACATATAGAGCCCCTTTTTTACGGGGGTTTTATGCAGCCACCGCAACGCCGTCTTCTCGAACATCCGCGCAGGGCCAAGCAGGTATATCGCAGCCATGACTACAACATCGAACGAGGACATCACCAGCCTCGAAATAACCTCGACGAGGGCAGACTTTATCATTCGTCAGTGAAGAACGAGGAAGATGAGAACGAGGAAGAAGAAGAGGAAAAGGAAGAGGAAGAAAATCAGAATGAGAAGGATAATCTCAATGACGAAGACGCCGACGAAGAGACTGCGGAGCAGGATGAAGAAGAAACGGTGAACGAGGAACCCAAGGAGGTCTACGATTATGGTTAGTGTTGAAGAACGAAACTCTTGTCACATTTTTTAGGTCGCCGCCAGAAATCGCGTTGCGAGATCCGATTACATGCCGCTCAGGGATGAGGCTGGTGAACGTCGAAAACAAGAAGATATGAGGATCAAATCGGCTACCGAAGAGTGCGAGGAGGAGTCGACGGAACCATCGCAATATTACGAATACGGTGAGGACGCGTCAAGACGAGAAGAGCAATGTTATTTTCTTTTCTTTTCTTTTCTCTCTAGGATAGACATCTCGAGATTTCGTATAATTTTCGGAAATAAAAATCGCGTGAAACAATTAAATCAAAATTGTGTTTTGGCTAAATTTATTGCTGGTCTCATGTGATTGTAAATAAAAATTTTTCAGAGACCGAGGTGAAAAATGTCGCTTCTCAAGATGTCCAATATAGCGAACGTCAAGCGATATTCCCCACAAAAGTCTTTGGTGCGAGTTTACTGATTTTTCTGCTTGCTTAAGAAATCCGGCATCTATTACGAAGAAAAAGCATTCACAGCACATTCTACAGCTTCCAATTTCTAATCTTAATGGTTCCCCTATCTCTTTTCTAAGTAACAGAAGCATTACAGCCAGCAGTTGTACTTTATTTCCAATCTTTTACAAAGTGATATCAAATAAGAAGTATGATAGCGTGGATGTGAGCAGAACAGAAATACTTGGACGTATTCTACAGCAAATGAGAGCAATCGCGTGCAATGCGCGTTGTAATAAATTTCCATGAATCTCTCGTTTTGTTTGAATTATTCATAAAACGTCGTTCATTGCGTTACATAAAATTCAAGATGTTTTTTATTAATGTCAACTACTGCATAAAATTATTATGATATATCTAAATTACACCAAGTAAAGATTTTTAGTAAAAAAAATATATAGGTTGCGAAACACTTTCTTCTGCTATACGAACAGATGATAGATTTTCAAAGGCAAGGGTAATTTAAAATTTAAAAAACGAATTTAAAAAAATTATTCTAATTAAATGAATTAATTTTTAAAAAAGTTATTTTGAAAATCTTGCAGCTTTTCTTTTAATAAATCTGTTATATTTTATTATTTGAATTATTTCATTATATTTCTTGCTTCAAAATATGACATTGTTTCAATGTCATTAGTAGCTTTCTTGTAAAGATTAACATATAAAAAATATTTTACTTTTTTAGATTTCACTATTCCGTCCTGTGGAAACCTGCTTTCCGCAGTGAAGGGAATTATTCCACGGCCCACATTTTTTACCTTTTTAAACTCTTTAATACTTGGTGAATTTATAATTTAAATCTAGTACTGAAATTTTATGGTCTGCCTATGGTAGCATAAACTATAGATTTTCAATACTGTATATTAGAAAACAATCTGTATAATATATCCCTATAATAGAAATTAATTCTACGCGGATGTTGACTCAAACAAATCTTGAATATTGAACTCTATTAAGATGGTTTGACATCTTAAGATGAAACGAGGTAAATAATGAAAATATTAAAAGAGTTTAATAATCGATAGCTTCAACAATTTCAAAATTCGGCTCAAATGATCATGGCATTTCGGGTGAACGGCACGAATGCATAACGGGATTGGTTTTTTTTTCTGAGCCAGGTCACCGACACCGAATATCAAAAAAATTCACGGTCATGTGGAATCAAGTTCTCTCTACGTTACGTTTTAAGTTGTCGCCGCGAGGCATCGCGTGGCGAACGATCGATGTATGTATATACCATCTCTTCAAACGTGACACAAATGTAAGTAACATCAAGAAATTGATTATTTCAAAAATAAATGTTATCTTAGGAATTAATTAGTCCGGAACGTGTTCAATTTAAAGAGTTAAGTAAATAATGATGTAACGAGTGGATGATTCATTCCGACAACTGGCAGTGGGATACCAATGCGCCATTGAATCTCATTAGAAGCAACATGAAAGCGGCTCGTTAACAATTCCAGTCGCGTAAGCGTGGTATGCGTTTGTTTGAAATCGACCTCGGGCCGTGTCTGCAGGTTGCGTATGAAGGTGATACAAATGTTAATAAAAATTCCAGTAAAACGTAAAATGTAAACGTCAACTAACATAATATCAATATTACAATTTCACACTTAATATAATATAATATAAATATAATACATATTGTACTCTTTTTTTTTTTTAATTCTTTAGAGTGAAATCTCACTCCAAAAAGTGAATTATTTTCATTTCTATCAATGTAGATTAACTTTAATCTCGATTTAACTTGTTCTTCATTTTTTCTATTTCTTAGAATTAGAAAAAAAAATGAAGAGTTGAACCAAATTTAAAATTAAATATCATTGGTAGAAGTGGTAGAAGTGCTTAGTAAAAATTGAAGTAATCTTATATATTATATTACTGTTTATTGGTGTTTACTGGAATGTTTGTTTACTGGGATTTTTAGATCACATTTGAATATTGAAAGAACCATGTATCCATACATTTATTTATTTATCGCGATCAATCGCGAGGAGAAATTAAAAAGAAGAATTGATTTTCAAACGCGATCGAACGACCGACCGATCGATCGAAGCCGAGCGGCTGAATTCACTCGAGTCCGATCGAATCGACAGATGGCTTCACGTACGTCGCCATTGAGGGACTCCGCGGTGCGCGATTGGCCGCTTACCTATCACGTGGTAGCGCGGCTCGGGTGGGGATTGGCCGGCACGGCTGTGCCGCGGCTGGAGCGGCGCGTTTCGTTGTAGTAGTATTTACCCCGCGGTGCTTAAAGCCGAGTAGTCGTGTCTCGTTCCGATTCGGTCTGGAGTGACTGTACGCGCGTACGTGCACGTTCGCCGTCATTTCGCGTCGCGGAACAAAAACAAAAAGCGACAACGCGATATACGAAGCGAAATACAGGACGAGCAAAGTGGCGAGGTCGCTTCGCGAGGGAAAGAAATCGCGCGTTCGAGTGCGCGATCCTTGTCGGTTTCTCCTCGAAGTATTCTCACGTAGCCACGTTTCTCGTTTCGCATTTTGCTCCAAGCCTTGTACGATCCAACTTCCAAGTTGCGGATCGACGGTGATCAGTGTGTACGCGCGCCATATTCGCGCGCGTCGCGAGTCGCGGCACGTCACCGGTTGCTTCAGGTTGCTTTGACGTTGCTCGCCGTGGGCGACGACGCGCGACAAAGGGTCGAGTGTGTGACTGTGACGACGAGTGGAGAGTGCTGAAGAGTGCCGCGAGTGTGTTGCACCCTAACGTAAATGAGTGTATGAACGGTAACGAGTGCGAGTGCGCGGGGTGTCGGCGAACAACGGAGAGTTACGCTCGGCGAAACGGAAACGTGCACGCCGAGCCGACAACACATGCGGATCGTGGGATCGTGGAATGCACGCTGACAGGTAGATACTCTTTGCGCCGCCGCACTCTGACTCCGACAGAATTCCGGAGTGCCGAGTGCGGTGCATGCCCTCTCTCTATCCTCCTCTACGTCGCGCTCAACGTCCTCCGTCTCTCTCTCTTCTTTTCTTTTTCTTATAGTCTTCTTAAGTAAAATGAAATTTTAATTTAATGTAAGCTACATATACGGTGTAAGTTGAGTGTGACTATATATTCACACTCAACTTACACTGTATATGTAGCTTGCATTAAGTTAAAATCTCGTTTTATTTTATACACAGTTATTTTTTATATCTTTTTGTAAATTGTGCACTTGAGAGGATCTCAGAGCGCTTAATATCAATTCTCTCTTTCTCTCTCTCTCTCTATCTCTCTCTCGCACGCACACGAACACGCCGTCTTTTTCTCTCCTTCTCGTACTGTACGATTGTGTCTGTTTACGCGTCCTCTATGCCTCTCGTTTTCTCTTCGCGATGACAGTTATCTATTTTTCTCTCTATCTCTCGCATTTTGTTTTCCTCGGGGTCGTTTGGGACTCCTGCGAATTGTTTGCGAATCTCTGTAATTCTCGAATTTTTCGAGTCTTCGTGACTTTGAATACATTAAAGTCTTTTGAACACCAGGGTTATTCTCGGAATTTTTTATTTTTCAGGTTCTCTTTCTCAAGCCTCTTGTAAAATTTATATATTCTAAACCGTTGAGAGCATCCACTTTGAGAACATCCTCGTATATTTCTGTGGATTTCGATTTAAAGAAGCACGAGAGATTTCGTTAACGTCGGAGTTTTTTTGAACATTCAAGAAGGACTTCGGTGCGAGGCAGTCAAAGTTCGTCGCCCTTAGTCGCCGTGAATAAAGTTACGTAAAGTGAAAGTGTCCGCGTGTATAACCAGACCCGTAAATACACGGTGATGCGTAAGGTGCAACGAAGAGAACGCGATGGAGTTTGGAGTCGCCTGTCTCGCGGCCGCGATTTTTTTCGCGACGCGGTCTATCGACGGTATCGCCGTGGCGAACGGTCGATATTCGATCGATATTCACGCTCCGCTGCATCTCCTAAGCTTCGATAACACGCACGATTGGAGCAAGTGACTGATTAGAACAATCGCGACGCTTGAAAGAAGATTAAATTCAACTCTGTTGATCGATAGTAAACAGTAATGTCTTCCTGAGAAAAATGCTCCTCAGATTAAGTCGATAAAAGAATACAAGAATGGCGTTTTAGTAAGATCGAGAAGAGAATTTCTGGTTCTCGAATAACCAGAAATTCTGTTTGTTTTCACTAAAATGTTATTCTTGTTGGGCTCTTTTATTGGTTTAATCGGAACATTTTTTTTCAGTGTTGTTTATACCAATGGAGATTAACTTTAATCTCGGTTTAAGCATGAAACACAATTGAAAAATATGGCTAATAGGAATAGAAAATAACATTCTATCCTGTATTAGAATACAAGATTTCTGATAGGGCTATTATTTTTGACAACTTCAAAATCTGAAGCTTTGAAAAAATTCGAATTTTCGAAGTTAACTTTGAAATTTAAAATGTTTCCAAGCTTCGAGTTACGAAGCACATTAAACTTCAAAAGTTTGAAGTTAATTTTGAAAATTTGAATTTTTTGATGTTCTGAATCTTCAAAGTTGTCAAAAGTAACAGTCTTTTCGGGTAGATTGAACTCTTAGATCCTGTTCCTGTACTTTTCAATTGTCTCAATCTTTATTCTTCATCTTTTTTTAAGTTCTAAGAATTATGTCTGTTTCTATCAATATAGAATAACTTTAATCTCAGTTCAACTTACTTTTAATTTTTTTTTTAATCCTAAAAATTAGAAAAAGATGAAGAATGAGTTGAAATTAAAATTAAACTATGTTGATCGAAAGGAGCATTAGAAAAAGGTGAGGAGAATAAATTGAATCGAGACTGAAGTTAATCCACATTGATGGAAATGAAGAAGAAAAAAGAAAGTGAGGAAAGATAAACTTGGCTGTGCTTGAAGTATTCTTGAAAAAATGGAATGACGTAGTTTTCTAATAATATACAAAATGAGTCATGTATCCTTTGCTCCTTTATCGGCAAATGGTTTCCGGTTCTCCTTTGCGATCGCGAATACTTTCCACGCTTTTGAAATAATTTTCCAAGGACGTTGTTGGAGCGCGTTCCGTGTGAACGGCGATAGCGATTATCTCGATCGGGAGTGCACTTGGCGATCGTACTCTTTCTCGCGCCTCGTTGCGCTTCTTGCTTGGATGGAGGAAGCGGAGAGACGGATCGACAGGAATTTTCTTTGCACTGTTTACCTCGCTCTCGATGATCGTCGTAGCTATGTGCACGTGTACCAAGTAGCAATTTCCTGCGATGAGACTGAGAAATTTTCTCTACCTATACTTGCGGATGCATCACTACGAAACTTATCCTGTATTATCCCAGAAAATTAAATATCATCCGATCACATTAATATTAATTGCTAACTATTAATTACTAACTTTGCTAACTATAATAGAATCTTTTAGAAAGGCCGATATTTCGATATTTTGATTGTGAATTTTGCTAGATAAATTTAATTCCGTAAAAAATAAGTAAAATACAAACGAGCTTCCATGATGATAAAAATATGTTACTGAAGTTTTAACAAGTATATCAAAAATTTTTCAGATTTTTATATAATCCAAAATAATCAAAAAATTTGTTTCTTAAAGATCCCTATTGTTGAATGGAAAAGTTAAAATTTATGTTGTCGAAGGGTTAAGCTTAATTTGTGTTTATATGATTGTGATGCTAGAAATCTCTTCAAAGTCTCAAATGAGAAAAGAATTGATCAATCAAATTGGTCCCTTAATCAAATTGTTCCAATGTTATTTATTAAATTAATAAATAATAATGAGACTCTGTAAGTATAATATAAAACAATACAGGCAAAAGAAGGACAAAGAGGTTTCATATAATAATTACAAAGGACAAAAACATACGTTCCGCTCGAGTCATTCTCAATATTGCGGTAAACTTATTCAAATCATCGCTACAAAACAAATATATATAATATTACAAAACTCATTATAATTCTAAAATACATATTCTTCATTTTGCGTAGTGCGCTGCGAGTCAATATCGGAAATCAAAGTAGTAAGAAGTTATTTATTAATTAATTTATTAATTCTTTCTCTATCCGAGATCTCGGAGTAATTTCCACGAGAATTTCCAGCATGGTGAATACGAGGCTTTAGGCAAGGAAATATACTGGCAGTTTTCCCAAATTTGTTTTAGTTTCTCCTCTCAGCGGTAGTTTATAACAGCCTCAATTCTTTCTCATACATTTTTCAAGCTTCTTCTCGGTGTTCGTTTATGATGATTTATCAGGGAAGATGATCGAGAGCATCGTTTGCATCGGCCTTAAGCCGGTCGGTTTCTGCCTTGCCGAAAGAAATACGGCGGTAATAAAATTTCTGCCGCCCGTGGAATCGCGAGGAAAGGGGCAACGGAAGGGGAGGTAAGGGAAGGTAAGGGGAGGTAAGGGCGACGACCTCAGCCGATCTTTATCCAATTACACACAAACGTAACTCCCACCTGCATGGAGGAGATTCCCCTTCGCCGACGTGTCATGTAAATCTGCAACTCGCGGCAATATTTAACGCCCGCCCAGGGTACACACGCTCGTTAAGGCGTGCCCTTATCGCGGTACGTATCTCCCTTTCATCTCTCGAGTACGCTCGGAGTACTCGCGATCCCGCCCGGTTGGATGAATCGCGAACGGATTCCATTGCGAATTCCTTCTCGTCCACATCCCAGTCTATCGGAGAAAGTTTGAGGGCTCCCTCGGGGTTCAAGGAAGTCAAGGATGTAGAAGTCTTAACATTTTTAGACGTCGCGGAGGTCTTGGCGTTCTTTAGGCGGATCTTATAAAGATCCTGACATCTTAAATCTTTCGAAAGTTCAGAGGCCAAGGCATTCGAACGAGAAGATATCGCGAAGTCTTGAACGACCGTACTGATTCAAGAATATCGCGATACAAAAATTCCGTGAATGTTTTCGAAGAAAGAATCTCTTTCAAAGAACCTTGCGCTGATTATTTATATATAGAAAATTGGATGAGATGAATTGTTTTTCATGTAGCTTATAATGATCGTAATACATGTATAACGAAGCTTAAAATGTAATGAAGAAGGTAAAAAGTAAGTTAAATCGAGATTACAGTTAATCTATATTGGTAGAAATGAATGTGAGAAAGCACTTTTGTACACAAAGATGTTATAAACACAAAGATATAGACTCGGTAATGGATAGTTATTGAGCTATGGTGTGTCAAAGAAGTAAAAAACTTGTGCTCGCAGAGCATCTTATATGTACGAGTACATAGCTCAGAAATGATCCATTATTGAGTTTTGTGTCTATGACTCTGTATTAGAGCCATGAACAGATATCTTTTGTTCGTCACATTGTAAACTGTATATAGATATGTAAAAATGAATTGATCGAATTCCAAGTAAACCCAATTTTCCATACAATTAGTACGAGATTCTTTCTAGAAGAATCATAAAATAACGGCGTGGGTAACGTTCCCCACAATATTTCCGAAAAATCTAAAAATAGCCTTAATCTCTTGATTAAGCCAATCTTCCTGTTTGCGTTTCAGTCGTCCCCAGTGCGTGTAAGATTGAAGGGAAGAGGGTTCAACATCCGTATTTGGATCAAGCCGAAATCGTGCCGAATCTGACGGTGTCGGTCGGTCGGTTCGCCATACCCCCGGTCGGAAAGAAGCGGCGCGGCTTCCGGTGCTGCATTTGTAGCGGAGGGATATGAAGGAGAGGCGGGAAGAAGGGGGTTCACAGTTCGTCGGAGCGGTTAACGATCGTCGGTGCCGATCGTGGACGACGAGGCGAGGAATCGTCGTGTGACGATGAGCGGGAACGAGTCGAGCGCGACGGCGACACTCGCGCCGACGAACGTTGCCGTCGTCTCCGCCACGATCATCTCCGCCACGGATGAGGAGGAGGAAGATCCGGCCTTGACCCTGGACTGCGTCGAGTCCGCCGTCGACATGGACCTGGTGAACGGACCGAATCCCTGGCTTCCGGCCTACGGTTTCCAGCTGCAGCATCACTCCCAGTTCCAGCCGACGCACTTGGAGGATCTACGGGCTAATGGTTCGCATACGTTAACATTCCCACTCTCTTCCCGTTCTTTTTTTACACTTGCGCACTCTCTTCATGCTTAACATCTAATGTACATTGAAAGAAAATACTAAATTTTAATAAATAAATATTTATTTGAATTGTTCTAAATAAATATTTACTAAATGTAAATATATTTTTATTTGATACGGAAACCATTCATTTAATTATTTTTTTATCGATTAAATATTTATTTACTGTAAATAAAAATTTACTTTGTACCATTCCAAAAAAAAAATATGTATTAGGATTTAATAATTTTTTTTTTTTTTCAATGTACTCTCGCGTTGAATATATATACTCTAACACGTAAAACTGTCCGACATTTTAGTCATTATACGTTTCAGCGTCTACGAATGTGAACTTGAAACAAAATTAAATTTTATTTGTATTAATTAACATATATTTAGATAATTTATTTAGATCTAATGTTTCTCAAGCATTCATCACGCCTCGCCATCACGTTTGTATTTATATTTGTAATTTGCAATTACTTGCCTCGGCGAGTAGAAATAATCTCTTAGGAAATCTTGAACGCGGAAGACGATCGGTTCTCTTCCTCTTTTTCTCTCTCTGCTTCGTGTGAATTTCCGATTTGAGAGCGGGCGTAGAACAACAGCTTGGAGTACTGTTAGATCACTCTTTGATGCAAATCTAAGCGCGATTATAGTAATCTAGGTCGCCATTCGCGGCTTGTCACGCTAAGCGATTAACCCTTTCAATTCGAAATCACGTTCGTGTAGCTTGGGAAAGGAAATGTTTTACGATACTTGTAAAACTTATTAAAAAATATATATACAATATCGAAAGATCTAAATCATCTCGTAGCAAATAAAATTTATGATTATTTATATAAAACATAAGATCATATATTTTTATATACACATAAATCAAGCATCCTAATTTGTTATATATAATATAAAAAAATCTTAAGTTTAATTACGTCATTCGATATTTTAAAGAGTACATCATATCAATGCGTAATTAAAGTATTGGCAGGATTGATGATAAACATGATCATATGAGCGGTGCATTTACGGAAGTTCCGAGGACGCGTGCGATTTTAACTCGCTCACGGTTTTTTGCAGCGTCCCTCTCACCCACGTTTCAATAGAAAGCAGCATACTATTAACAGGCGATCTGTATGCAAAGCTGTTTTCTAGCCGCTGGAAATCGTGGTAATGATTCGGCCTCCGTCGCCAATATCTAGAGCGTAGTAGACGAGGCGGCGGCGGCGGCGGCGGCGATTCTGAGAAGACTCCGAGAAGTCATTGCAAGTCGATGCAAAAATTTTCTTTTCAACATAGCGCGCTACCAATGTTAACCGGTTATTCCTGTGATCAAGGTTCGATCGTTTTGAAATCGCGAGCGGAAAACAGCCAATCGACAGTAACGGTCTCAATAATATAATCGACAGTAACGATTTTTTTACGTATTTTTTACGTGTTTATATAAACAATGACGAAAGAAATTTTCTTATAACGAAGATTAATTTCCTTAAGCTTTTCCGGTATGACACACACTGAAAGAAAAAAAATAAAAATAAAAATTTTAACAAATATTTTTTTTTAATAGCTAATCTAAGTAAATATTTACTAAACATACATTTATTTGACACAAAAACTATTAATTTGATTTAACTATTATTTTTTTTATTGAATAAACGTTTATTTACTATAAATAAATGTTTAGTACTATTCAAAGAAATATGTATTAGGATCAAGTAAATTTTTTTCAATGTAATCAGTTCTTTTCCAATACTTTTCCAATGCTTCTTCCATTGTTTATAACTTTTGTTATTAATAATGCCACATACATTTACTAATACAGTCATGTTTCTTAATGTTTGACATTTTGATTGAAAAAATTGTTTACAATATGTTTTATATGTTGTATTTTTATGAAAATTATAAGCAATCGGATTGAGTTCGATAAACCAGTGTGTTATTCTTGTAATAAGGTATTAAGAACATTACTTTAAATACTTTTACGAAGCGCCACTACGGTCTGAATGTTAAGATGTTGAACTAATATATATATTCATATAAATGAATTAATTTCAGAAATGATAATTGCGATATGGTTGTCGGACTTTCAACGCAATTAATCTGAAATATTAATAATCCCCCCAAATTTCCCAAATTAATCTTAAAAAACTGTAATAAACATATCGGCACGCAATTATCATTTCTGAAATTAATTCATTTATATGAATATATATATATTAGTTCAACATCTTAATATTCAGACCGTAGTGACACTTCGTTTAAAGTAATGTTATTTAACATAAACGGTTTTGTTTCCAATCTTAAGGTATTAGGAGTTTCGAGAATTTTGAGTAATTAATTTGGATGTTCTATAATTAGGTCAGACAACAATAACAATGATCCATACAGCATGGGAAGGGTAGCTTAAGTTTCTTGTTACATTAACGTGATTCGATTAGCAAGACAACAAACTGACGAACATGAAGTAAGAAATGGAGAGTGAGCAAGGAGATCGGTCGAGTATATAACTACACGAGAAAAGTTATCCGCTCTGATTAATTTATTTATCATTCGAAAGACCGGTTTGGAATAAAGAAAGTTTTATATCTAATTGTAAGATAGAGAAAGTAAAATATACTTAAAATTATTGTACCGTAAAACATTATTCGTAATGATAAAATGAATATTCCATTACTCAATGCGGAAATTACAGATTTGTATTTTCAATTTTAATATCAAATTTAATTTTTCGAGTTATCTAAGAATTTTCTTAGCGAATTATTCTATCTCTTGATAATTAAAACGAAGCCTGAAACATATTGGTGCCAAGAAGAAGTAAGAGAGATATCTTCCTATTCGATCTCGTGCATCATAAATATCGCTATATTCCGCTAGAAGGCCTCTAGAAAGACGCTAGTCCGGCTGATTATTTTTATGTAAGCTACATCGGTTTATTCTCGTCCGTTAGTCATGGAACGGCAACAGGCAGGCGACTGCAACAGGTGGCTCCGCCATGATGTTGCATACTGGTGCGTGCCTCCGCACTCGTGCAAGACAAATTGCGTTTCAGCGGTCTGACGACCCGCTCCCGCAATCGCTCTATGAGCTCTTGTAGTTAAAAAAAAAAACACTTCCACTTAATGACAATCAATATGCGTGATCTTATTCCATTCCATCTAACGTTCATGGGAAAAAATTCCGTAGCATCGATAACAGAATATGAAGTTCGCGAAGACATCATTCTTCTTTAAATTTAGTGAGACTAATTTGAAATAAATTCAATTTTTCTCTAAGGCTACATTTTTATTAACGTAGATGAACTTTGATCTCGAGGTAATTTAGTTTTTTGTCTTTTTTCTTATTTTTCGATAATAAAAGATAAAAAGTAAGTTTTAACTGAGATTAAAGTTGATCTGCGTTGGTAGAAATAATGTACCTAAATTCATAATCAACGACTTCGACGGAGTTAATCCTATCTTAATTAACGCAGGCGTACGCAATTTCTCGCATGCACGTAATATCAGTCATCGAGCGTGTCTGTTACGACGATCTAAGGTGTGGCGGAAATCAGGTGCTTCCACACGCAGATGCTTGTTGCGTCACTTGAATAAACCGGCTTTATAATTATTGGGATTAATTGATCCGCGATTCAGAGCGTCTCGATCAAGCCGTATGTAAATCTTTGATTCGCACATAGCCAAACGCAAACTACGATGATTAATGTTTTCCATTGATCTCTCGGTCATTGATATATCATTTTTTATCAAGACTGCGCGCGTGCGAGAACGTAACGTAGCTTAGTTATAACATAATTAAGTATAATAAAGTATATGGATGCTGAAAAAAAACTCTTGGCTTGATCTGTGACGATATATTTCGAAGACATTTTCTCGCTCAAGAGTATGAGATGACATATACACTGACTCTTCTCATGCCATTCATTATTTCTCACGCTGACTGCCAGTCTGATCGCATTCAAGCATGCTCGATGCAGATGTGCAAAGTTTATTTGATAGCGTTATCATCGCCCACTTGTGGACGATTACAATACGATCTCTCAGGAAAGCTTCGACCTCGGTCTATTCGATTATTCACTTCCTTGTTTTTTTACTCGCAATTGTGTGCTTCCTCGCGTCTTGTTTCACTGAAGAGCAATTTTGCTGAAGAATCTAAAAATTTAGCTGGATCTGAAAAATAATTTTGCTGGACTGAATTGGATCGAAACAATTATAGGTAAGACGATAAAATTTGATTGATTACAGAATAGAATATCAAAATATTTTGCAGCATTACTCATCATGTTTAAGATTCCTGCAAAATTATTTTGATGATTCAACAAAATTATTTTCAGATCTGTATCTAGCTAAATATTTAGATTCTTCAGCAAAATTGCTCTTTCAGTGCAGAAATCGATCAGTTAAGATACGGAGAGGAAATACATACATCTAATTTGGATACGATCTTTTTCTTTAATTGCAGTATCGCGTGATGCGAGCGAAGGAAGCGCGAGGAAGCGTACAATGCAAATGTTATAACCGCTTATGCGTAATGTTACGCAACTATTTCAGTAAGATGAAAGGGTAAGATAACGTTTGACTTTTCCATGAGAGAGCAAGCAATCGCTTGTAGCTAGAGTGCACCGAATGTATTCTATCCGTGCAACTATGCAATGTCCCGTTCCCAGCAGCGTCTAACTGTTCACGCCATCATTCATCGCACGATGACGAAGGCAGGAACGTACTTTACGTTCCTACGTTCGAAGTACATCGCTTTTCGTTTAAGATAGCTGTTTGACAATTATTAAATTAAATATCCATTGCCATAATGTTTGTAGTAATTTTCATATTTTGCTATCATTAGACACGTTCCACTCTGGAGCTAAAAGAAATTTAACAGAAATTCAATTTATTTTTTATTAGATATGTCGATAATTAATCGAATATTCTGACAATTGATATCTCTAAATACTTTTCAATGATATTTCGTTCATTAAATTTAATCGTATTAGACCAGAAGTTATATAAATTATGAAAAGGATGTGGTATATTGAAATTTAAAAAAAAATGGACTTCGCGTGCTGATTCGTATCAAGAAACGACGACAGTTCTCGAAAAGCATGCACATGCAGTCCCGAAATGTCTCGAGCCGGCTTTGATCGACGACGAAAGCTCGAGAGGTGGACGACCTTCCAGTTACGTTATCTTCTAACGTAATGGTTGCAGTCGTTGATAAGAAATGAGTCATGACCTTTCGTTAAGAATTTCGCTTCTGCGAACAAGCAGCTGCACTTTTAACGACGAAATGACGAGGCACAAGTAACGAGTTTACATTTTTACGCTTCGTTGAAGTTGATCAACGTGAAAGAACGACATGCACGTGGAAAATACGTTTAACTCAAACCTATAATCTGTGTGCAGTTTAATTGATAAACTATAGGAAATACAGAGCTTCTAATTAACTTTAATTACGTATAAGAAGTTATACATACTTATCAAACAAGATGCAATAAATTTTGTTACAATTAATAGAAATTATCTAAATCAGATTATCTAAATTAATTTTTCATTATATTAAACTCTTTTTAAAGTCTTTTTTTTTCATGTGAAATAAATAACATTCTTTCATTGTAAAACGCTACGAATTAATTCCAACACCTAATAGTACAATAAATGGCAGCACAGTTTATTTTGATTAGGTTTTTATTACATTAAACTCTTCAGTCTTTCGATTTTATTTTTATATAACATAGGTTTAACAAGTTTTGCTTTTAACAAGCTCATGATTATATTAATGTGAATACTTTATTTTGCAGATACGATGTTAGTGCAACAAATCGATTTTCTCGAGACGATTCTGGAGGAGACATCCGACGATCTCCAAAGCGATTCCGATCGTAGCGTAACGACGTATTGGCTGGGATCCGATTCAGAGACTGAGAGCGTGATCCATATCAAAACGAAGCAGAGATCGGCAGGTAAGAACTCCTACTTTTAACACGATATACACAGATAATATAGTCGCTATCATTATACACAGCGGAGTTGTACGTCGAGGACTATGTGTTTGTAAAATCCCGTTTGTCGCTCGGGACGAAGATCGCGGGAATTAGGCATTGTTTACGTGCGGTTGTTCTACTTTCTCTTTCCTTTCAGCATCCTAATCTTCAGACTCATTAGGGAACCGAGAATTACTCGTCGAACATGCGATTACTCGCGCTTACGCCATTGAAATTGAGGAGGTCGATTACTCGAATAAAATGTTTTTTCGAAAAGTCTACGTTAATATAAATTGCATAAATCGTAAGTTAATATATAATATCAGTATAAATAGAAATCTATACAGTCAAGGGACTATAATACGAATTTTTAGAACCAAAAAGATTATGAGATTTAATTCGAGAATTTTATTATCATTTTTACTTTTTTATGTAAAATTGATATTGTTTTAAGATTTCCTAACTTCGAGTTATTGTTAATGTAATTTAATTTCTGATTTAAATCTAACTCAAATAAGAGACTCATGAATTACAAATCGATATTATCGCACCACCCACGTGCTCTTGAATGCGCCTTTGTACGCAGCCATTGTAACACACAGTTACGTGGTTGCAGTACGTAGGGGCATGTATGTTCTCTTATTACGGTTGATACTTCGTGTTTGAACGTACCAAACAAAAGGCACTTGAAATCAATGCAAAGAATGGACAAATAAATTCTAAACAACTCGATGACATCAAAATACTTAATTCCATCGAATGAAATTTTGCTAATACTTTTTTTTTTATTCTTTCTATCCTTCTTGAGACTGTTGGAATTCGATGAAATGACAAATATAACCAGTGGTATTATTTCTCAGCACGCGCGACCTTTCGCTGCCGATGCAATATTCCTTCCAGTACTGTTTGCCGAGAAATGTACGTATTGCTCGATCGAAATAACGTGCTGTGTACAAGATATTATCTAACTTATATATTCCTTAATCGAAGAATTCTAAAGGTCAAAACTGTGAACACGAATACGACGTTTCAATATTGACTTACAATTAGTACTATTAGATTATTTGATTAAACGGCTCTTACCAGCAATGATATAACGTAATTTAAATTTTTGAGAAACACAATTAAGTTAAGAATACAGACATTTAATAAATTAATATAATAAAAATCATTTGATATAAAATTAAGGAAATATAAAAACTTTAATATCTAAAAGAAAGTGTAAAAATTGAAATAATTTATATCTTTATTATTCTAATTAAGAACAAATTTGCATAATATGTGATTAACTTCTGTCGAAACGTATTTTGATTTTCCATAAGGTTTATTCTGGAATTTTAATGAGTAACGATTCTCCTCGTGTATACCAATTACCGCAAGATGATATAACCGCACCTTGAACGTTACACCTAGATCGACGATAATCGACACGATTCGCGTCGCACGCGACAATTACGATTCCGTTGCCAACCGATGGTGATCAGCGCGTAATGTCGTAAGCACTGCTTCCGGTTGAATGAACCATAGCTTCCTGACGGACATGCCTACGTGTGTATATGTGTATGTATGTGTATGTATGTGTATGGGGCGAAAGTAACGACCATTAGATTGGATCACTTCCGTGACTCGATTTTACGAAGTGGGTCGTCAAGCATCGAATTCCACGTCTATCTACCCTAACGAGATTCATTGAATTAAAAGTAACATGCGAGATCTGGATTTCAAGTAAAGTAGATTTAGGCCATGCGCTTGCTTGTTTGTCTCGCTTTTATTCTCTCGAATCCTTGCATGTTACTATTGTCTCCCGTTATCGTCAGCGTCATTTTCATCGCGTCTTATTCTCGGAAGACGAGCGACTGGATGGTAGCGGTAGCGAGTGCAACTCAGTGGTACCGAAAAAGCGACGCCGTCGCGACCATGGCACCGATCATCATCATCACCACCATCATCATCAGCAACAGCAAATGGTCTATGACGAGTATCCGGCATCACCGAGGTCTTCCAGGTCCACAGCTTCCTCCAGATCAAGCTCGCTGTTGCAGTTTGAATCCTTGGAGAGGACCTGCGCCACGCTGTCACCTTCCAGCTATAGCTTCGATTCCCTGGAATATTCCAACCGATCGAACACCTCTCATCCGGAGAACGATTCGCCGGATAGCTTGGAACAGGACTATGGTAGGCTGTTACCAAACGGTTTCGCCAGCACATTGGCGGATCATTTCCCGAAGATCAGGCCCTATCGCAGCTTTGAAAGTCTGGACACGTGCCAGAAAGATGACAGCTTCGGCCAAGCGTCCATGTCGAATGGTTTCGCGCCTTTGTATCTGAAGAAGGGTGCTGATTTATCGAATATTAGGAAAAATAATCAGCCAAGGTAGGTCACGCATTTTTCATATTAAATCCAAATTCTTTTGCGTTAAAGTGATGATTAAAGGCTGTAACTCACAAAATGCATGAGCATAATATAAGACTGTCTAGCCCAATAAGCATTCAGTATAAAATCGCCATATTGATTTGGATAATATGCTCATTGATTCAGACGGTTTTATACCAGCTGTGTTATGTATCTTGTGTGTTATATTTCTGACAAATGAAAAATCTTACATTCAAGCCGTCAGGAAAATTTCTGTTTAAATCATAAAAAATATATTGCGGTAATTTATCGCGGTAGAAAGTTATTACTTTCAGTAGTTTCAAAGAAGGATAATAAGATATTGCATATTTCTTATTGAATTTTCAAGTTTGGATATTTTACATTACCCGAGAAATTTCCCCTGTGTGTGCAATAATTTCAAACGTAACACAGTCAGTCCACCCGCGTTGTAATTCCAACAGACGCTACCAAGGCTTTTATTTGTTATTCTTGGCATACGTGCACTCGCCGTTTAACACGCGCCCGCCTATTTTTACACGCATTGCTAGAATAGAGATACAAGACTACTGTAATCATGCATTGTTTCCCGAATTAGTTTGCGAGGACTGGCGGTAAGTGCATTTCTGTATAATCGTGAATAATCGTAAAATAAATATTTTATCTATGTTTCTTCATCTTCCTATCTATGTTTCTTTATGTTTCTTGTTAACAATATATTATTTTTATTAAAACATTTTTTTTTCTTTAATCTATTATAAAAATGTAATTTAAATCTTAAAGTTTTAAACAAGATATTAAAAATTAATTTAAGACAATTTAATATGTGTGATTTTCTTAATGAATTAATTATAAAAGATGATATACATATACATCAAATTAATTGTTTTTTACAACTTAAATAATCAGAAAATGCAATTGCTTTTTCTGTTCCAATCTAAAAAAGGGTTAAACAATGTATGTGCGTTTATGCGTTTAACAGCCGTTCACGTTGGGTGTTGAATGCTTCATGGTTTTCTTGGCACTCGTACGCCGAATTCCCCTTCGTGTGACGATCGTTTTACGGCCAAGTTAAATGCAATCGCGACCCTGAGGAAGACCACCTTGACTTTACTGCCGATATTATAAACGTTTGAAACACAAACGCGTTACCGAATCGCCAGATCACCGCCGTTTGCTTGGTTCTTAAGTGCGTGGTATTTTGCATACGCATCCTTTAAGAATGCGGCTCAATTTTTAGGAACTTACATTGTAAATGTAAAATTTTTAATAACGATTAATATTTATATTACATTTATATTAAATTCCGATGTATTTCGTCATCTGTATTTGAATAAAAAAAAAAAAGAAAGACATAACATAGATTCTTCAATATTTCGTTCATGTCTATCTATAAACAGAGACTTTTGGCACGAGGACGAGGAATATGAAGACGAAGACGACGACGAAGAAGACGAATACGATTTCGAGGAGTACGAACGAAGTCGAACGAATGCGGATTCCCGGTTGACGACCGGTTTCGAGGATCGGCTGTTGTACGGTGAATCCGGCAAATATGCGACGTCCTTGGACTATCGAAACACGATCGACCTGCGGGAGATTGGCGTGGAGACGAAGAAAGACGCACTTTTGGAGCTTAAGTCCGGCCAAAAGACAGCTAGGTTAAATATAGCCGGCGGCGGTGCGGAGCATCATCACCATCACCACCACCATCATCATCATCATCATCAGCATCCGCAGCAGCAGCAGCAGCAGTACCAACAGCAGCAGTACGATCAACACGAGCATCATCACCACCACCACCGTCGTCGCCGCCAACACCAAGGGTGGAGCGACGAGGAGCGTTTTAATTTTAGATTCACGGACAAATCGCAGAGCGCGCCCAGTCTACTCGACGGTGTTGAAGAGTCAGCACGTAACGGCCTAAGCTGCACTTTACCGTCTCGTCTTCGCACCTCGAGGACGACCTTTTACGTGTCGACGTCTTCTCTCTTTGAGAACTACACACGGGTAGCCAGCGTGCCGGTGGACCTAAATCTCTGCGGCGTCGCCGCTATGTGCGACGACGAGATGAACGGTCAAGAAATGGCGGAAACCTCGCCTTGTGAGGAGGCTGAGACTCTGAAGAATTCACGAGAAGATATGATCCTAAAAGAGGACGATGAAACGCAAGTGGAAACGAAGATTGGCTTAACCAGTTCAGTTAGAACGCAACCGGCCCAAGGCGCACTCATGGATGACAATATGGAGGATCTCGAGAAGGAAAATGAAGAACGAACAAAGGTCGAATGCACGAGCGATCGTTGCGAAGTGCAGCAGACGCGCAACAAACAAGCGAAGACGTCGACTGTGAAGACTCAAGATCGCGCCAATTGTGTGCTGGATATGGCAATGGTGACAGAGAACGACCTCGACGAAGCCATCAAGCAATTTAAACGCGAGGTGGAGGAGGCGGCCGCTTCCGGAGTGACGAACGCCGCCATTTTGGCAATGGAGACAATTCAGCGAACACCGTCCGGTCGAGTGAAAAGTCGAAAAGTGAAGAACAACGCCAGTTACGAGCTAGCGCAACAACTTGAGGTGGATGAGAGAAATTTTCCATGGAAATTCAAAGATAATGATGAAAATTGCGATGGAGCCAACTCTCCTGGGAAAAGACGGATGCTGAACAATGCCAGCTACGAATTGGCGCAACAATGCGACTACATCAAGACGTTGAAGAGCTCAAAAACGGCGTTCCAACGAATGGACGCGTGCGACGAATTAGAGGAAGCTGCATCCGGACGATCTTC